TTAACATTGCCCCAGTTTTTATTTATATACAAGTCTTAAAATATCTTTTTGAATTGTTTTAATAAACCTAAATTATTATTATTTGTTTATTGAAACAGTGGAAAATATGTATTTTAAATACAAAATAAGCTTTATGAAATTATTTACAAAACTTTTCATTTCATAATAATAAATAAAAATATTATTACTATTAAAATTAATAATAATGTTGTTGGAACGGTGACGAATAAATAATGCATATACATCAGTTATTAAAATAATTTTTATTGGTATTTATTGATAAAAATCATTCGATATTCATGTATAATTTTGATATTTAAATATGGAAAGAATGCGTGTGACGATATAAACTATTAATTAACAACTGGATGTAAAACGTTTCCGAATTATGTTCTATTTTTAAATGAATAATTACAGCTATGATAGCATTAATGAATGAAATTATTAATAAAATTCTATAATTATAATCTAGATCAGGGGGTTCCAATTTGGCCGTTAGCGACGCAAAACCTATTAAATTAATAAAGCAAATGTTTCTGTATTTAAAATAAATATACTAAAACTAATTAAGTATATAAAAATTGTGTTTGTGTGTATTTGTTACATTACAATGTTTTTATAAATAAACATATAATACAGTAAAACCTGCAAAATCCGCAACTATTTTGTTTTTCCGTATCTCACATCATCATTGAAAACCTTATCATTTTTTCATTGCTTTCTATTGCCTATACAAAAATGCCCTGAAAAATTCTTCTTTATGCTTTTATGGAATTAGGTGAAAAAATAAGTTTTTAACGATTTATATATGTTTATCATTTGAGATGTCTGCATATATTGTAAAGACTTGACATATAAATAAGTGTACAAAGTTCAATTTTTATAGAAACAATGTGTCAATGGGTTACAGACAGAAAAACGGAAGTATAATGTGATAAACCGATCTTAATTTTGGAAGCTAAATCTATACTCCATTCATATTTCTAAAACAATCATCACATTTTAGAAAACTAACTTTCAATAATAAACGAACACGATGAACACCTCACACAGAGCATAGATGTGGTTAATATTCAAGTGTGATTTGCCACTCTTCGTCAATCTCAAAAATTAAATTTTATTTCATTTATCGTTACTATAGCTTTCCACTGTCTTTTCTATAATTTACAGCAACCTTTAAGCATATTTTCGATTTTATTACATTGACGAAAAATGCTTATTTTCTTATTTTATTATAATGCAAAAGATACAAAACACGCTAGTTTCCTGCTTTTGCGTCTATAGTTCCCATATTTGTATTGAAGTACCCGATTCCTTTCACTCCGTCCACGTCTCACAGGTTCCAATTTTCAGAGAACATCTGTTAGCTTAATGCAATTGTTTTAATGAAAAATATTTGAACTTTCCACCTCTGGAAGGCTTCCGCCTTAATCAAGTTTCTGCTTTCTTCGATTCCACTGAGTAAATTAAATATTTTAAATAATATATATTTTCATAAGTCATGCATTCATTCATTCATTTCGTATTAATATTGATCATCAAAATAGAATAGTTTAGGAGTATTTGTTATCAACATGATATCAAGTATAAAATTTATGTAATTTGATCAGCTGAATAGTAGACTGGAATATTAACTGATGTAATAGAGGCTAACGATAATTTAAATTATAGTAGTTTGCCTACGTGTTTCATATAATTTATTGACTTAAACATCAAAATAAAACAAATTTGAAATTATAAATTTCACAACAAAAACTTTTTATCAATATAATATTTAAATTAAAAATTGATTTTAAAAAGATAAAATTTTTAATTCTTTTTAATAAAATTATTCTTTTTGGGAACTATATCTTCTAATAGGATAGAGGAGTTTAATCAGATTGAGAACCACTGATAGATATTACTTGTATAAATTATACGTCTAAATAATAATTCTAAAACTTCCTTAATGTAACGTTTTTTAATATCTCTCTTAATCCCAATAGTTGTTCCCATTTTATTTGTTTTGTCACAATTAATAAATATCGATTGTTTTATTTCCAATTTCGTATTCTATTGAATTCTTAAAACAGTCAATTCATGAGTATTTATAAGATTTTATCGACAACGAACTAGACAGTTTATTTAGAACTGCAAACATTTATCCTCTTTCGTAAAATAAAAATTAATTGAAGAAATTTTTCGTTTAATTATTATATTTTTGTTCACACATTTATATTCTCAATTAATTTTTTGAAGATTTTAATTTTAATTTTTTGCTCTTCTAGGAAAGTAAAAAATATCGAAAATTCTATCAATGATGAATCGAAAGCAGCCTATTACTATTGAATAGATTATTAATCTGATGACAGAGGTTTAACGATTTTTTTTAAGAATGACTGTCATATCTATTTAGTACACAGCAAATACAGAATTATACAAGAAAAACAAAAATATAACTGATCTTTGTAAAGTAAACTATTCATTTAAATATATATATACAGTATATGTATGTTGAAATAAATGTTTTCCGCGTGTTTAATTTAAAAATTTCAGAATGAATGTTTACAACTGTAATACACTTATCATTGGTAGATTTAGATAGTATGACCATAACATTTAAAATTCAACCGGATACACATTTCAGAATCAGTAAAAATGGGCTCTAAAACTAGTTGAACTTTGGTTATTTTTTAAAATTTATTTATTTATTGCTCTATAAATTGGTGATGATATATTAGCGTATTAATAAAATTGCTCGGCTGAAAGATTGATTCTACAATAAAATATTAAAAATAGACAAAATCGAGGACAGTGCCCAGAAATCAGGGGCTTCTGGTCACCCTAATTTAGAGATAGAGAAGTCCACAGACCCTAAGTGGAACCCTACGATAATTAATCGAAATTATTTTTATAATTAAGCCAATTAATTAATTAATAATTTGTATGCAAACACACACACTTATAAATATTTATAAATACACAAAAGTTTATGAATAATCATAAACTTTTAAATATAATAATATAATTTAATAAAGTAAATAGTATTTTATGAATAGTTATAAACTTTTAAGACAGAAATAGTTATAGATTAAGAAAACTACTAGAAGTTTCTTAATACTGTTTTTGGGGCATAAGCGGCCTCAGTCTGCTTTTAAATTTAGTGATATCACCCTCCGTACCCACAGGGCAAAACAAGTAAAACAAAAACAAAATTCATTGAATTCATTAATTAAAATGAAAAAAGAATATTATGTACATTCTTTTTTCATTTTAATTAATTAAATGCTTAATATATAAAGCTTTTATCTATGTAGTTTGTATCTATGTGAATTCAGATATGAAAACTTCCAGACAGAAATATTTAGAGAGGGAAAATTCGGGAAAGTGAAGCATGGGAAAGAAAATTCGGGAAAGTAAATTTCAGGGAGGCGAGTTTCGGGGAACGGACTTTAACCATTTTAAAATACGCAGGGGGTATCCTTTGTGCAAAAATACAAAGAGAACCCCCTGTAGATCGTCCAATTTCAACATATAAGCAGTCTTAATTAACCATTTAAATTATTCCAGAACGCTTGGTATTTCTTTTATCTAGTTTAACGTTTATATTAAATTGTTTACGAGCATTTTTCGATATTAACATAAAGTTTGAACAAATGTCGATTTATTCCAAGTAGTTTTAATTAAACAATTAATTAATGTAATCAAATTATTTAATTAGATAAAAAAATATAAATATCGTCTTTTATCTACGAAATTAATAGGGAGATTCTAACATCATGCCAGATATATTTATTTATAAACAAAACTTATGTTAATAATTATTAAACTTCTTAATATTCAATTGTAAAATTTTTCCACTGTGCGAGATTTCAAGTAAATCATGCGGTAAAATTCCTTAACTTAATTCAATTATTACAAATTGAACAAACGAAATAAAAAGTTCTTGGATTGACATCTCACGACTTTCTCCAGGAATAGGTAATATGATGTGATATATCATAAAAGTGAATGAAATACAACCTGTTCTATTGTTGTCTTGGATGTGATATTGATACATTGCGTTTGACAGCAAATAATATACCGTCTGGTATATCACACACTTCGATACAGGCATGATTAATTATAAATGGCAGACGTCACGATGCGAAAAGAGTTGAAACACGAACGAAAGACAAAAACTGATAATAACTTCCGTTTCCGGTACCGAATCGACCTAAAAGTAAAACGATCTCATCACAAGAATATATGACATATTTATCATGTCAAATTCGTTGGAGTTTGATAAGCTTTTTTCTAGTTAAAGAGAAAATCATCATTAGATATACTGTATATATATTGATTTACGTGATTTTTATCCTTCAGTTCAAAATAATCATAACAGGCGAAATTTCAACAACATTTTCATGAAAATAATACTTTTCACTATTTAAATTTATATACAGTTTTGAAGTTTGTAGAATAATAAATACTTTACAGATGATCATTCTTTCTATTAATTTTACTAATTACTGAATATTTTTCAAATATGATAATTCTTCAATTTAGAAATTATTTCTGTTAAGTTAATTGTATTAATATATTAATGTAATTAAATTACTCTTAAATAATTCCTAACTTTTTTTTTATAAAATTTGCCATTTAAAACTTACTTAAGAAATTTTAAAAGCAATGTTAATATTCACGTTTTAAGAACGTTTATTATATAATTAAATATTATTATATCTATTAGTTACTATTGGTTAGAAATTATTTTAAGCAATAATAAGCCATAAAAGTAGCTTAATTTTTCTTTTATTGATTAAATTATCTAAATAAAAAGAGAATGCTGAAAATAAGTATCCAGAAATATCAGAGGGAAGTTTTGCTAGAGATTTTGTCGTGTACTTCCCGGAAATTTGAGTCCCTGGGAACCTGTTCCGGAAATACCCGACGCTGAGTGATTCCCGGAACCGGTCGCCTGGCAACCACGTATCCAATGACATTCGCCATTTAGGAACAGACTATCTTGGACGTTTATTTCACCGGGGCTATGTCTTCGTGCGAACATGCCAATGACCTTCGTACTCGCTTTTGGGAAGACCACGAGGTAAAGACACTTTTGGACTTGTGGAGTAACGGTAAAGTTCAACAAGAATTAGACGGTACGAAACGCAACAGTCGCGTGTTTGCTTGGTTATCCGACGAACTGTGTCGCCACGGGATTCTTAGAACCGCTAGCCAGGTTAGAGACAAACTTAAGTGTTTAAAACGTGAATATCGAATCAGCAGCGATAAAATGAAACAATGTGGAGAGCACGAACGATTTAAATGCAAGTATTTCGATGAACTAGATGATATTTTATCTGGAAGAAAAACGAGTACTTCGACACTTCCGGAAATTACTGTATGCGAAACTATAAAGCCAAATGAAATCAAGAAAGAAATCGAACCACAGCCGGAGATTATAGTAGAACCATCTGATGAGATGGAAGTTCAAGAACCTGTATCGAATGTCCAAGAGGAGGTACGACAAGAGCAAGAGAAACCAGCGGAGGAGAAAGTAAAATTGTCTAAAGGTAAACGAAGCGTTAATCGTATAGAAAGAACACTAACTGCACTTTTAAATCATCAACGACAAATCGAAGAACGTTTCCTAAAATTAGAGGAAAAGAAACTGTTGCAAGAGCGTGAGTTGATGGAAATGAAGTTATGTAAGGGAGAGGAAGCTTGCGAGAGATGGTATCAGATGAAATTACAATTGAAAGAAAAACAGTGGAACCACGAACGTCAAATAATGTCCATGGTAGTTGAGGCGGTTACTAAGAGAGTGGCTCCGACTAGTGGTGATAAAAGAAGTGAAATTGCTACTCAGACGGATAGCCAAATGGAATTTTAAATTTTAACAGGAGTAAGTGTTCGTTATTCACGTTTTAAATCATTTTCAAATGTTTTTTAAATGTTAAACGTATATTCGTGTACATATACTTGTTATATTGTTTTTTTTATTAAGAATATAAAATACATTTTTATAAATTGATTTCGATCAACTTTTTCTATACAGTATTATAAAATGAAGTATTTAATAACGGGAGTTATCATGATAATATGAATAAACCTTTATTGTTAATTACATAAGATTTATAACGTGTAAATTTAAAATTAGTGAATATATTTCAGATATATTCACTAATTTTAAATAAATATATTTATTTAAAATATTTATGATAATAGATATAACAGAATTTTATTATTAATTTAGTGTGGAAATTGTCCCTGAATTTTCATTCACTAAAATTTATTATCGATCCACTTCTAGTACAGAATTTTCATAAAGGGAAAAACGAACCATTATTTCTATTTCTGTCTAAAGTGGCAAACAAAGAGGATTACAGGTACAAACAACTAATTTAACTAGAATAAAGGGGAAAATTAAGATTCCAATTGTGTACAAATAAAATCGCCTACAGGTATAACGGTCATCACAGAATGATAAAATAGTATTCCTAGATAATATTGGAACTTTTTCAGAGAAACGAGGCTCACGTGATAAAGGAACAAACGAACACAAGGTCTTTGTTAATACAGTAGATTCGGCTTAATTGGGCCACATTGGGAAATAGATCTTTTGTTCCAATTTTATGCGAACGTTATCTCGATAAGCTGAAAATCACTGTGGTAGTCTTTTCAACAGGTACACAGTGTATAATGTATAAAATAGTGGCTTTTGTTTACTAAAATATTAGTTAAAGAATGCTTACTTTTATTACAATCTGATAAAAATTATCAAGCCTACTCTAATGCTTATTCGTTACTAATCGCAACATAAAGCCCTTTCTTTTTATTTTTCACAAAATCAGCAGTTCTAATATTTATATTCTTTGTATTAAAATTATTAACAATTTCACTTCCAGTTTTCAGAATACACGGTATAGCTTGTATCTTTATAATTTAAGTTTCCCTTCTGGAAATGTTTATTTGTTTTCTTTATAAATTCCTGACCTTGTTCTAAGTTTCATTGAAGATCGCTTTGTTTCTTTTCTGCTTCTCTTTTGCGTGTTCTTTCTTTTCTATTTCCTTCTTTTGTTCTACCTTAACTTTCTTCGTTGGCATTGCTCCCTTATTTTGACTGCACGCATTTCTAGCAGTTTTTAGCAAAAGTGGCGTGAATTCTTGTATATTGTTTCACATCATTAAGTCTATTTACTTATGATAATTTGGAGTTATCATCAAAAAAATCTTAACACATTTCGGATACAGTTATTGTAGCATCACTTTAATAATACTATTTACAGTCAGTTCAAAAAGTTTAGAATAATTTAAATCCATCACAAAGTGCAACTATGAATGACAATAACTAGGCGAAATAAAAAGTTATGAAATAATTAATTAAATAAGAGGATAATTAGCTTGGTCTTTTAGCTATATTCTCACCTAAAAGAAGTTAATTTCCAAAATAGTGTTGGAGTCATAATTTTTAATTTATATGAATGATAATAAAAAAAGTTAATTATTTGAAGTCGAGTTCAAAACGTTTAGAATATTTTATTGTAACAGTTGGTTAAATCTTCTGCATTATGAATTACAGATTTTATTCTTTTTGGCATACTATAAGTGATTGACATTGTTCAAGACTAATTTCAGACCAAATTTTTTCAAGTTTTTCTTTTAAATCTTGTTTATTGGTTTAGATTCTTGCAGTCATTTTTTGGACCAATATTTTCAATTGGAGACAGGTCCAGTGAGTTTTCAGGCTCATCTAAGAGCTTCATTATCTTTTTTTTAGACGTCATTCTTTAGTTCTTTTTCAAATGTGACATTTAACTCTATCCTGTTGAAAAATTACATCAAGATGATCTTGAAAATAATCTTACATTGTTGCGATGAGGAAGTATTCTAAAATATTACTCTTTACTGTTATTAAAGACATCACAATTAATAATCTGAATCAACCCCAGTAGAACAATTCAAAATATATCTCTAAACACCTTTTTGGCTGTTGAGATTCTTTTATTCTATTTATGTATTCTGTTTTGGAACGGTATTTAACGTTAAACATGTTCCAAGAAAAATGTAGCCTGAGGATGGCCTATTAGACTAGGCTGAAAACGTTTGCCAAATAAAAACTAATCCCAGCAGCCAAAAAGGTATTTACAGATATATTTTGACATCATAATTTTCCAAGTCCATTACAATCAGGTGAACTCCACAAAATAACTTTAATGAGAAATTTAATCACTCGTAAACAATATCGATTGTTGGTTTCGCATTTTAAGTGCCAAACGTTTCCTCCATAATTTAAACAAACACAGAATATACTTTTGTCATTAAAAATGTCATTATTCGGGCGTAAAACATATGTTTGGCCCAGGTTAATCGTTTTTCATTTGAACTTTTGTCAGATGAGGTTTTTTTTTTTATTTTTGGCTCCTTTATAACCACCTCCTTCAAATAATTGTAAACCATTGTTTTTGAAATTGGTTTTCCAATCACAGATTTCAATTATTGTGACAATGTATTGCAGGCTTGCATGTCTACTTTGTTTCACAATTTTTTTAAGTTCTGATTTAAGTCGTTTCTAAAGTAAATTTTGGATGACCAGAGCGTTTTTTCACCATATCAACTTCCAGTTTCATTAAATTTTTAAATTCTTTTTTGCACTTTAGACTGCAAACAATTCTCTTTCTTCGCTATTTCATATTGCTTAACATATTCATGTAAATCAATAATTTTGGCGCTCTGATCCAGGCTGAACTATCGTTTCTTGCCCATGAAGTTTATTTACCCTATATTTGTGACAATTGCTGAATTGTAATTTATACAATACTATATGCGATACAATTTACGTAATTACAGTAAATTATAATAATCATTAATTTATTTCATATTCTGAACTTTTTGAACACGTTCATTCAAGTAGAAAAAAATATGAATAATATTTAATTTAAAAATTAATATAGTTTAGATGAAAATATAGCTTATAAAGACCAGACTAAATATCACGTTATTTAAATTTTTCATAATTTTTTAGCCCACCAGTGGCCAAGCGGACTTCGTACCCTGAACACTGGGAGTTCGGTCGTCGGTTCGCGCCTCTCGGAAGGGTTGGCCACGTGAAGTTTTCCGGGTTTTCTTCACGTCTGTAACGCCTAAATAGGGGCCAGTTTCCCTTAAAAAGACCCCCCGGAAGGCATCCCCACTACGCAGATTGCCCAAGTGTTACGTTGCCATAACTTAATCAACAACAACGGAAGCAGGAGTTTCAGCATTTTTTAGAAAATCAACCTTTTAAGAAGCAGTTATAATTTTAAGACTTGCTTTGAAGACACTGCTAGCAAAGGCAATACATTAAATAGGGTAATATTTCTTGCAAACTGCACTTGCATCAGATTAATCTTAATTTCATAAACTTCAGCTATAATTTGCGTTCGAATTTACCTGCAGTTATAAGTTTTTGAATTTCATATGATATCTTGGTCACATGGCTGAATTAATAGTGTAGTGTTCGAACATAAGACCATTTTGATACTTGTAAGAAAAGTTGTTTGTATGCGCTATGTAGTTGTTTAATAAGACGACTTTTCACTGTAATTCACGATCCACTTAATTAACCAATTGACGAAATAGACACTTGCCATCTAAGCATTTGCACTAGAAAAATAAACAGGTAAACATTTGACACTTTTAAAAGATTTTTACTTTTTCCAATCACAAGATCTCGCTTTTCACCTCCCATACTAACACAAAGAACTGTCACTCCCTCTTTCGAAAATTTAAATCCTTTAGCAGTTCCATTTTTAAATAAAAGTATACTCGATCATTGCACGAAACAGGGTCCAGTATTGCTGAATATTCACCCCAGAATATTTATAATGCAGACGAAACTCGTCTGCATTATAAATATTCTGGGGTGAATATTCAGCAATACTTTTTGGTCACTGACTTTATCCACTCAGATGATAACAAATTGGCAAAGACGTTTATACACGATATTCTCTCGCTTTTTCGCTGTTAAACCATTCATCAGTTGTAATGAAATCTTTGCCCATGATATTTGCTAGTTATGCTTTTCCACTTATAACAGTTCTATTAACAGGATCGTTGTTTTCACGAACCAAATTTTTAATACAGATTCAATTTGACTATCCAAGATCGTTCTCTCTTCCTATCCATGTTTTCGTTACAGAGAAGAAATTTCTTAGGTTTGATCTGTTTTCTAAGATCATACACATAAGCGGTTGTAAAATTTTTAAATGCACAGCCGCTTTGTGTTGTCATTTTCGAAACTTATCGTACCACTCTGAAATTCTTTGCTTTTCTTGAAGAGACAAATCTCTACGCTTTTGCTTTGCTTCTGTTATGATCCAAAGAATGCTTTTACAGCATTTTAATTTTGCATCTGTTGAATTAAGACGACTATATAAACTAGAGAAATCTCAACAGGCGCACCTGTCTATCACAACTCATAGCAACAATGTTTTAAAAAGATAGAAAAATACTTGAATAGTATATTTTAAGATATTTCATCATGCACATGGTACAGAGAAGATAAAAAGGCATGCTTTCGGTTAAAAGTAAGTTTTGAAGAATAGATTCACTTATAGTAGTACAGTCGATCCCCCTATAAGATCATTGATTTTTCCGTTTTATCTGAATTACATGTTGTACGAGTCACTTAGATTTTACAAATATGTGAGCCGTTCACAGCCCGGCACACGTATTTGTAAAATCTAAGTGACTCGTACAACATGTAATTCAGATAAAACGGAAAAATCAATGATCTTATAGGGGGATCGACTGTATTCATTTTTTAAGAATTCTTATGGTTTGTCACCAAGTGTAATTACTGCAATTAACAATAACCGAAGTTTCATTATATTATAATAGGCGAATTATTTTTATTTTATATTGAATGGCGTGTTTTGGTACGACTGATAATATTATCAGTGAATATAATAACCGGATTCCACTGTACTGTACATCCTTATTGAAAGAGAAATCCTTTTCTACACTGCCTGTCCATTGTAAATTGTCAATGCTACTTTTAACAACTTTTCTAGCATAGAATATTTCACGGATCCACTCATATGCATCTGTTTTAAGCACTGGCCCAATAGACATCAAATCTTTGTTTCAATCAATCCACAAATTGTTCCCCATTTTCATTCAAACTTACAGAATGTAATTTAAAAAGTTTTACATTCTTTAATTTTTATTTCAAATAACTGCACCGCACAGAGCTAATCAATGCAACTGATTTGAAATTATTTTATAAACATATGGGATGTCCATAAATTACGTAATGCAGATATGGGTTGGTGGATATGCAGATAATCGTTACGATGCATTTTTTAAATTCTTCGCTCTATGGGCACTAATAAATCATTTTTTTAGCAAGTACATTATAAGATTGACCAGGCCCACAATAGACAATCAAGTGATGATTGACGGGAACCCGACATATCCAGATAACCATCTCCAAACAATTTCTCAGGGTATCGACCCATTCGGATTCGATCCCAGGTCTCCCGATCCGTAAGCAGCCACCTCAACCGATCGATCATCTGGCCTTTCATTACAACGAGTTACAAGGGGT